TTTGTTGCAGAGGCGGCTGTTGTGGTGTCTGTGTCCGTCCAGAATAACGAGCAGAAAAAGTTCAGGTTTTTGGGGGTGGGTGTGTCTTTTCTCTGTTATTGTGTTCTACTTTACGCCATTTACAATCCGGAGGCGCTACGCACAGATGCTTTGATGTGCGTAACGCGCGTAATGGATATCTATAATACTATTAACAATTATGTCCCTGCCAATGTCCAGGTCACCCAAATATGCCTGATCGTCTTCCACGTGAGCTGTATAGTCTCTTTACCGTACAGTGGTAGAAGGTCATGGAGTAATGACCAACAATACTTAATTTCATCGTTTTTTGTAAGTCAGTCAGGGTTTCCAGATTTTTTATTTTATTTTAACTGAGCCACACATTTTACTTCTGTGCTCTTTTACATCATGTCACTAATATAACGTTTACTTGGCAGGTTTTAATTGCAGGATGTTTGGCCATAGCTGCAAAAAATCTTCATCTTCCCACGGTATGCAAATTGCATGTACAAATAAAATGTACTAAAAAACAAAATGTGAATATTAACAAATTAAAATACATTGGTAGAAAATAAAAGTAGATAAAAAGTATAAACATCTTCCTATATTTTGCATTGTAATGATAGTAAAAAACATTTCTGAATGTATTTCCAGCTCAGGGCTTGTCTGGGAATGGAGATTTTGTCCAGTCTGGCCTGCCTCGCCATCCTAAACATCACCGTGATTAAACTGATAACTCGTTATCATGCGTGCTATCATGCTCCAACAAGTCAAGACAAACTGGGGTGTGAAAACCTGCACGTATGTTTACTTTATTATTATTCAATATTTTAATCCAAGAAGTTTTGAATTTAAGAGCAAGGACCACGCCTCAACAATGGAATATGATAACGATATTTACTGACGGGAGAGAGATGTGACGGCTGGAGGGAGACTCAGGGCGGGGGGTTATGATCTCCAATCCAAAATGGTCACGCAGCTGAATCAGAACCCCCTCCTCCTTGAAAATGACGTCTTCAGACAGAAGGATGGGCGAAAGACACGAGTGGGAGGGAGGGAGGTTGTCGAGAGAGCAGACGCAGACGGTGTTGTTGGGATAGACCGTATAAATCGGGCTTGTGGGTAACTGAAGGCGTGGTTCAGATAAGCTGGTTGGCTGTAGAGGAGGTTGAGGTGTGGTCCATCATATTGACTCCCCTAAATTCTCCACTGTATTGTCACTGTAAACATAAAGTGTTTGTTGTCCGTCCTCTTGTGTTCATAGAATGCCCATATGCATCTTTTCACTGAGTTACTGCTCGTCCACGTCGCTCTCTTTGCCATTTCTGTCACTCTGGTAGTTTATGCCTGTAAGAACTGCTGCTGTCCTGCTCCAAAAGTGGTATGACACACACATACACACACACACACACACACACACACACACACACACACACACACACACACACCACACACACACACACACACACACACACACACACACACACGTTATGTTTTTGTGCTTTTATTGTGTTTCTGTGTGTGTTTATTTGTATCAGTGTAGGATTTTCTAAATAAAAAAATTAAACCTCTCTAATATAAACATGTAAATTGTGCTTTCAGCCGGTGATAATGATACAAGCCCCTCCGGCCCCTCAGTGAGGACAGCTGGAAACAAGGCTCATCATTTACTCCAGTGTGACACAAATGTCTCTCAGTACTAACAGCATGTTTGTTATGACACCTACAAATATTATCTACACATTTATTACATCTTCAGAACAGTTTTTTGCACTGTACGTAAGTTTTTATTTATATAGCGCTTTTCACAGACATTTGTCACAAAGACATTTTACAGAGCATTATTCTTTCACGTCACACCTGGTGGTGGTAAACTACTATTGTAGCCACAGCTGCCCTGGGGCAGACTGACTGAAGCACGGCTGCCATGCCAATCTGCACCATCGGACCACCACCCTCACTCACACACACACCACTTTCATACTAGGCAATGTGGGTGAAGTGTCTTGCCTAAAAACACAACAGTTTTTTGCAACTGGCGCCCCCCCATGGCTCCTGAGTTTCCCAGCGTCTCCCATCCAAGTCCTGACCAGGCCCAGCCTGTTTAACTTCTGAGATGTGACAGGATCAGGCTTTGACAAGCTGGTATGGTCACATACACTGTACTTATGCATGTTTGTGATTATGTGTAACAAGAAGTTTTATCATGCTGTGAATTACACTTGTTATTCAGATCTTCATAACTCACTTGTTTGAGTTTTGAATTGCTTGTTTGCGTGTGTTTTTTGGATTTATTTATTTTTTAAATAAATAAAAATAGATATTTGTATGTTTGCTGTTTTTAGTTAAATACTAGAAGAATTTAAAATGACATTACATGATTTTTGACAGTTCAGACAAGACAGTAAACTGCCATGACACAATTTATGTGATTGTTAAATTGTTGTCGTGTGTTGGTTGGGGTCGTACCTGTGATGATGTGACCTCTGCTCTATTTTCATTTTCATTTCACACACGCACAAATATGTGTGTGTGTGTGTGTGTGCGTGTGTGTGCGCGTGTGCGCGTGTGTGTTTGTGTGTGCATCTCACACAATTATATGCAGGTGAGGCGGGTGGTGCTGCAGGTCTCTCCAGTCGTGGTCAGCGCAGCTTCCGTCCCACACAGTGATGCAACTGAAAAGATGCTCTCAGTGGTTCCTCAGTAGAATGTGCTCATGATGGTGTGAGGCACTTGTCTGCTTGAGTTTTTGCAGGAAGCAGAGGCGCTGCTGGGCTTTCTTCACCAGTGATGCCGTGTTGTCCAGGAGAGGTCCTCACTGATGTGCACCCTCCACAGTTGCACCGTCAGTGGTCAGTGGCGGCTGTTGGGTGTGGCTTCTCTGGAAGTCGACATCAGTCTCCTTAATGTCTTACTACAATCTAGAGATCTTACCTTTTCATCCTCCCACTGGAAGAAGCTGCAATCTTTTCTGTCTCTGCAAGCTGAGCAGGCGTAGAATCTTTTGCCTTTAGAACCTCCTTCACAAACAAATAACAAAGTGGGACCTGGAAATGCTCAGTAACAGTAGTATGAGATATGCATGTGGTAGAACATAGAAATGGCATGGAAAGAGCACATCAACATTAATATTAGTGCTGTCATGCGATCAAAAAAATTTAGAGATTAATTAATTATGATCTGTAATTAATTAATCTAATTAATCTCATTTTAATCTCACCTAAAAATTTCTGAGAAAAGCTTCAATTTGAGGTATTTTCATTTAAATTCATTATTACATTATTGTGGCAGATCAAAAGACTGATATAGATTTAAAAAAGTGACTTTATAAAGTCATTTATTGTTTAACAAATGTCTCCAAATTTGGCTGTTGAGCCCAAGTCTCCATGAATAAGAAACTGTTTGCTGTAAAGTAGCAAAGACGAGGAAATCTGAACATAATAACTTTTGTCTACTTAAAGACAATAAAAAGTCCAGTCTTTCCTTAACCATATTAAAAATATTATTGATAGAGAAATGCTTTATATATGAGATCACTGGTTTTAGTCCTAGTTTAGACCTGGTTTAGACCTGCTTTAGTCCTACTTTAGTCCTAGTTTAGTCCTGGAATGGGTTAATCCTGGTTTTAGTCCTGGTTTAGTCCTGGTTTAGACCTGGTTTTAGTTCTGGTTTTAGTTCTGGTTTAGTCCTGGTTTAGACCTGGTCTGGATTAGTCCTGGTTTTAGTCCTGGTGTTAGTTCTGGTTTAGTCCTGGACTGGATTAGTCCTGGTTTTAGTCCTGGTGTTAGTTCTGGTTTAGTCCTGGACTGGATTAGTCCTGGTTTTAGTCTTGGTGTTAGTTCTGGTTTAGAGGCGCACAGGAGGAAGCGCGGTTTACGCGAGAAAACACGATCCACACGCGGCTCACGGGAGCACGTCGGTGTCCGCGCAGTGTCTACGGAAGGAAACGTTCTCAGGTTAATGACGATGATGAAGGTGTGTGTTTGTGTGTGTGTGTGTGTGTGTGTGTTGTGTGTGTGTGTTTGTGTGTATAGGGACAGTAGTGCAGACATCATGAGTCTATGCAGGTTGTTTTCACCAGTGACATTTAAGTTGTAGGCGATTTTATATTTGTTATTTTCTTTTATATTTCACGTCGGGAGAATAATTTCCAAGACACGAATGTGTTTTTACCTGTGCACTGCTGCCTCTGTTCTACTGGCTTTTCCACCTCGTCCATTGTGCGACTGACGCCGCAAACGTGAACATGACGTTTACATCGCTCTTACTGCGTGCGTTTTGTGTGGGTTTCCGACAATGAGTGGAATTACCGAAATAAAAAAAATTTATAAATGTGTTTTTTTGTGTGTGTGTGTGTGTGTTGTTGTTGTCCCAACAACACATAAAAACAGGTTTTATAATAAAGCAACTCACATACAGAAACACTAAAGTTAGAGATTAAAAATGAGATTAACGCGATTAAAAAACATAACGCGCTAAATATGACTGTAATTAATTAATCGCAATTAACGCGATAATTTGACACCCCTAATTAATATATCATAATAAAAGAAAAAAAAGAAAAAGCTTTCACACAGGCTTTGACTCCTGTCCCCGTTTGACCCTCAGTTGACTGCTGGCTGTTTGTCCCTCTCCAACTATTGTATCTAGTATCTGGTCTTATTACCACCTCCCTTAAATATACGCTAAAGAAATTTAGTTTGTCAAATTTGCTTAATCACATGTCTGTTTATTAGTAGGCCTTCTTACATAGATCACATATGTGGCTTTAGGTGTATTTTGTGCAGTAACAAGTGTAAGGCTCTTGTCTAAGTGACAGAACACAAAATTTATGATGATGACTCTTATTTTTGAGAGTGTCAGCACAAATAGCCCACTTACTTATCATATACACAAATCGTTTACAGTCAGTGGGACAGTTTTTGTCTGATCAGAGCAGCCAATGGTGTGTTTACCTCTGAACAGCTGACTGCACAGAGAGAGGAAGTGGGAGCACAGGGACACGCTCAGGGCGGAACCATGGAAATATAACGGAGCTTGTGCGCACAGAGGAGAAAGTTCAGTCAGCGGGACGTGAAATCTGTGGAAACTGCGCATAAGTGACGCACAGCGCGCACCGGCGACATGGCAGGTAAATAACAGCATTGGTCTGTGGAGCTGAGTGTGGAGCAGATGTTTGTGCTGCGCATCACGACGCTTGGAAAAACAGGATGTGAACAGTGATGGCGTAACATGTAGTTTTGTTGCAGAAGCGGCTGTTGTGGACGCGGACACGGGACTGTCCCACAGTCCTCTGGTGTCTGTGTCCTTCCAGAGGAACGAGAGGAGAAAGCTCAAGTTTCTGGAGGGAGAGCCCAAGGCCCTGGGGGTGGGTCTGTCTTTACTCTGTTATTAGGTGTGTTTAAGATGCTGAAATAATCGCCTGAATCGTCCTGAGAGCGCCTCAGGTTGGACACTTGACGAGCCCCAGATCACGCAGAGTCTCGCTGACAGGACAGATCTCGCGTTCATTTGAGGTGTTGCGCTGAATCAAACTACATAAAACTTGGTGAATACATTCTCCTGTCTCCCCACACACCACGGACTGACCCCATATCACCAGAGCAAAGAACACAGAGCTCGTAATAAAGTTTACACGCTTAGGCCTGATCTGTGTTGAAAATGACTTTGTAAAGATCATACATCGATCGTGTTTGTGTTGTACAACATCCGGGCCCTTTTCTGTATGATTTCAAGCATCTGTGTTGACATAAAAGTAGAAAGAGGATGGAGGGACACTCCTGGGCGACAGAGCGTCACGTTTCATCAAAACACATCGGGTCCAATCAGATGTCAGTCTGCGCCTGTGAGTTTGACAGTGCTGCATTTACCGACATGATTTAGGCTTTGTAATCCATGAAGGTGGGTGAAAGCAGCTGCAGGTGCCTTTTTAAGTCTTCACCCTCCTTGATCTCACGATCACCAGTGCGTGCGGAGCAGTTCACCGTCCTGCTCATCTTAAACACACCTAAAATATGTTCTACTTTACACGATTAACAATTATGTCTCTGCCAATGTCCAGATCACCCAAGTCTGCTTCATCCTCTTCCACGTGAGCTGTATCGCCACCTTCATGTACACTGGTGTAGGCAGATGGTTTTATAACATACAGGAATTAATTGCATCGGTTTTTGTAAGTCAGTCAGGATTTCCAGATTTTTTATTTTATTTTAATTGAGCACATTACATTTAACTTCTGTGCTCTTTTACATCATGTTGAAACTAATATAACGTTCACTTTGCAGGTTTTAATTGGAGGAAGTTTGGCCATAGCAGCAAAAAATCTGCATCTTCCTACGGTAAAAAGTACAAATCAAATGTCCAAGTGAATATGAACAAACAAAAATACACTGGTGGAAAATAAAAGTAGAAAATAAGTATAAAAATGTTCCTGTATTTTGCATTGTAATAATAGGGAAAAAAATAATAATTTTTAAATACATTTCAAGCTCAGGGCTTGTCTAGGGATGGAGATTTTGTCCAGTGTGGCCTGCCTTTTCAACATGATGATCAGCTCGAAACAGCTTCAAAGGGCAAGTTATTATTATTGCTCTGATGCTTTAACACCTGAAGACAAACTGCAGTGTGAGAACATGGGTGTATGTATACTTTATCATTATTTAATATTTTAATCCAAAATGTTTATATTTAAGAGCAGTAGATTCTTCACTTTATTGTCATTGTAAAGTGTTTGTTGTCCGTCCTCTTGTGTTCATAGAATGCCTATATGCATCTTTTTGCTGAGTTTCTGCTCATCCACGTCACTCTCTTTGCCATTTCTGTCACTCTGGTGGTCTACGCCTGTAAAGTGGTCAACTGCTGCTCTCCTGCTCCGAAAGTGGTATGACACACACACACACACACACACACACACACACACACACACGTTATGTTTTTGTGCTTTTATTGTGTTTCTGTGTGTGTTTATTTGTATCAGTGTAGGATTTTCTAAATAAAAAAGTTAAACCTCTCTAATATAAACATGTAAATTGTGCTTTCAGCCGGTGATAATGATACAAGCCCCTCCGGCCCCTCAGTGAGGACAGCTGGAAACAAGGCTCATCATTTACTCCAGTGTGACACAAATGTCTCTCAGTACTAACAGCATGTTTGTTATGACACCTACAAATATTATCTACACATTTTATTACATCTTCAGAACAGTTTTTTGCACTGTACGTAAGTTTTTATTTATATAGCGCTTTTCACAGACATTTGTCACAAAGACATTTTACAGAGCATTATTCTTTCACGTCACACCTGGTGGTGGTAAACTACTATTGTAGCCACAGCTGCCCTGGGGCAGACTGACTGAAGCACGGCTGCGATGCCAATCTGCACCATCGGACCACCACCCTCACTCACACACACACCACTTTGATACTAGGCAATGTGGGTGAAGTGTCTTGCCTAAAAACACAACAGTTTTTGCAACTGGCGCCCCCCCGTGGCTCCTGAGTTTCCCAGCGTCTCCCATCCAAGTCCTGACCAGGCCCAGCCTGTTTAACTTCTGAGATGTGACAGGATCAGGCTTTGACAAGCTGGTATGGTCACATACACTGTACTTATGCATGTTTGTGATTATGTGTAACAAGAAGTTTTATCATGCTGTGAATTACACTTGTTATTCAGATCTTCATAACTCACTTGTTTGAGTTTTGAATTGCTTGTTTGCGTGTGATTTTTTGGATTTATTTATTTTTTAAATAAATAAAAATAGATATTTGTATGTTTGCTGTTTTTAGTTAAATACTAGAAGAATTTAAAATGACATTACATGATTTTTGACAGTTCAGACAAGACAGTAAACTGCCATGACACAATTTATGTGATTGTTAAATTGTTGTCGTGTGTTGGTTGGGGTCGTACCTGTGATGATGTGACCTCTGCTCTATTTTCATTTTCATTTCACACACGCACAAATATGTGTGTGTGTGCGTGTGTGTGCGTGTGTGTGTGTGTGTGTGCGCGTGTGCGCGTGTGTGTGTGCATCTCACACAATTATATGCAGGTGAGGCGGGTGGTGCTGCAGGTCTCTCCAGTCGTGGTCAGCGCAGCTTCCGTCCCACACAGTGATGCAACTGAAAAGATGCTCTCAGTGGTTCCTCAGTAGAATGTGCTCATGATGGTGTGAGGCACTTGTCTGCTTGAGTTTTTGCAGGAAGCAGAGGCGCTGCTGGGCTTTCTTCACCAGTGATGCCGTGTTGTCCAGGAGAGGTCCTCACTGATGTGCACCCTCCACAGTTGCACCGTCAGTGGTCAGTGGCGGCTGTTGGGTGTGGCTTCTCTGGAAGTCGACATCAGTCTCCTTAATGTCTTACTACAATCTAGAGATCTTACCTTTTCATCCTCCCACTGGAAGAAGCTGCAATCTTTTCTGTCTCTGCAAGCTGAGCAGGCGTAGAATCTTTTGCCTTTAGAACCTCCTTCACAAACAAATAACAAAGTGGGACCTGGAAATGCTCAGTAACAGTAGTATGAGATATGCATGTGGTAGAACATAGAAATGGCATGGAAAGAGCACATCAACATTAAAATAGAAAAAAAAAGAAAAAGCTTTCACACAGGCTTTGACTCCTGTCCCCGTTTGACCCTCAGTTGACTGCTGGCTGTTTGTCCCTCTCCAACTATTGTATCTAGTATCTGGTCTTATTACCACCTCCCTTAAATATACGCTAAAGAAATTTAGTTTGTCAAATTTGCTTAATCACATGTCTGTTTATTAGTAGGCCTTCTTACATAGATCACATATGTGGCTTTAGGTGTATTTTGTGCAGTAACAAGTGTAAGGCTCTTGTCTAAGTGACAGAACACAAAATTTATGATGATGACTCTTATTTTTGAGAGTGTCAGCACAAATAGCCCACTTACTTATCATATACACAAATCGTTTACAGTCAGTGGGACAGTTTTTGTCTGATCAGAGCAGCCAATGGTGTGTTTACCTCTGAACAGCTGACTGCACAGAGAGAGGAAGTGGGAGCACAGGGACACGCTCAGGGCGGAACCATGGAAATATAACGGAGCTTGTGCGCACAGAGGAGAAAGTTCAGACAGCGGGACGTGAAATCTGTGGAAACTGCGCATAAGTGACGCACAGCGCGCACCGGCGACATGGCAGGTAAATAACAGCATTGGTCTGTGGAGCTGAGTGTGGAGCAGATGTTTGTGTGCTGCGCATCACGACGCTTGGAAAAACAGGATGTGAACAGTGATGGCGTAACATGTAGTTTTGTTGCAGAAGCGGCTGTTGTGGACGCGGACACGGGACTGTCCCACAGTCCTCTGGTGTCTGTGTCCTTCCAGAGGAACGAGAGGAGAAAGCTCAAGTTTCTGGAGGGAGAGCCCAAGGCCCTGGGGGTGGGTCTGTCTTTACTCTGTTATTAGGTGTGTTTAAGATGCTGAAATAATCGCCTGAATCGTCCTGAGAGCGCCTCAGGTTGGACACTTGACGAGCCCCAGATCACGCAGAGTCTCGCTGACAGGACAGATCTCGCGTTCATTTGAGGTGTTGCGCTGAATCAAACTACATAAAACTTGGTGAATACATTCTCCTGTCTCCCCACACACCACGGACTGACCCCATATCACCAGAGCAAAGAACACAGAGCTCGTAATAAAGTTTACACGCTTAGGCCTGATCTGTGGTGAAAATGACTTTTTAAAGATCATACATCGATCGTGTTTGTGTTGTACAACATCCGGGCCCTTTTCTGTATGATTTCAAGCATCTGTGTTGACATAAAAGTAGAAAGAGGATGGAGGGACACTCCTGGGCGACAGAGCGTCACGTTTCATCAAAACACATCAGGTCCAATCAGATGTCAGTCTGCGCCTGTGAGTTTGACAGTGCTGCATTTACCGACATGATTTAGGCTTTGTAATCCATGAAGGTGGGTGAAAGCAGCTGCAGGTGCCTTTTTAAGTCTTCACCCTCCTTGATCTCACGATCACCAGTGCGTGCGGAGCAGTTCACCGTCCTGCTCATCTTAAACACACCTAAAATATGTTCTACTTTACACGATTAACAATTATGTCTCTGCCAATGTCCAGATCACCCAAGTCTGCCTCATCCTCTTCCACGTGAGCTGTATCGCCACCTTCATGTACACTGGTGTAGACAGATGGTATTATAACATACAGGAATTAATTGCATCGGTTTTTGTAAGTCAGTCAGGATTTCCAGATGTTTTTATTTTATTTTAATTGAGCACATTACATTTAACTTCTGTGCTCTTTTACATCATGTTGAAACTAATATAACGTTCACTTTGCAGGTTTTAATTGGAGGAAGTTTGGCCATAGCAGCAAAAAATCTGCATCTTCCTACGGTAAAAAGTACAAATCAAATGTCCAAGTGAATATGAACAAACAAAAATACACTGGTGGAAAATTTTAAAAAAATTAAATAAAAAATGTGTACATTTCAAGCTCAGGGCTTGTCTGGGGATGGAGATTTTGTCCAGTGTGGCCTGCCTTGTCAACCTGTTCCGCAGCTCATTGGAAATGAGAACTCATAAGTTTTGCTATTCTACTCCAACACGTGAAGACGAACTGCACTGCGAGAACAAGAGTGTATGTGTACTTTATTATTATTTAATATTTTAATCCAAACATTTTTATATTTAAGAGCAGTAGATTCTCTACTGTATTGTCACTGTAAACATAAAGTGTTTGTTGTCCGTCCTCTTGTGTTCATAGAATGCCCATTTGCATCTTTTCGCTGGGTTACTGCTCGTCCACATCGCTCTCTTTGCCATTTCTGTCACTCTGGTGGTCTACGCCTGTAAGGTGGTCAACTGTTGCTCTCCTGCTCCAAAAGTGGTATGACACACATGCACGCATGCACACGCACACACACACACACACACACACACACACCCTCCATGTTTGTCATGTTTCTGTATTTTTACTGTGTTTCTGTGTGTTTGCATCACGGGGACCTAATTTTTGTCCCCAAAAGGGAGGCGGGGGTATTCCATGAGCCTGGTTTATTTGGGCAATCCAGACTTATCAAAGCCTCAGCTCCGTTCCACCAAACTGACTGACCAGAAGTGGCCCTGAGTTGCTGCAGTAACAAGCACCCAGAAACAAACCTGGTCAGGACCAGACTCACTGTCAAGATTATTTTAGCTTTGCCTCCAAGAACATTTAAAGAAACAGTTGGGTCATTTCACACCAAATCTCCGAATGCCCTCGCCCGACCATCTTAGAGTGTTTTCTTAGTTTCTGAAAGTGCCTTCATAGTCCATGAATACTCTGCATGTATGTGGACACCACGATTTCAAAAATTTTATTTTGCAAAAATAAGACAGAACACCATCACAAATTTTGGATATGTTAAAAACATAGTCTTTCTAAAACCGTCCATTTTATGTTGGGGGGTGCTGTCATTTTTTTGGTATAATATGGTAAAAATGGCACCAAATTTATTTTTTCCATTTTTAACACTTAATGCCTTCTAGAGCGTTCATCACAGAGGGTCAGTTTTAAAATCCATGTGTGGGAAAGTGTATGTTCAATATCAAACCTCTATCTTTGAAATTGCACTTTCCACAGTCCTTCAAAGATGCTCTCGTATTTGAAGAGTAGAATTTTTTTTTAGCAAATTCAAGCCCCCAGAAATCTGTGATAAACCAAAAGCACATGTGTAAAAGTCCATATTCTACAAGTACAAATTTTAACCCTTGAAAATTTGAAGGACCGACCTTAAATAGTTTTTTAGATACAGCAATCTGAAAGTGGTTCTTTGGAAAACTCTGCTCAAAACAGGTCAGGGGGGAGCTGACAAAACATTTTTTAATGACAAAACTATGAAAAGTTGGGACTTTTCCTATTGGAAAGTGTGTGAACCTCCTAGAATTTTTTCAGTCAAATCTGAGATGGTCGGGCGGGGCCATTCAGAGATATGAATGAACGACCCAGTTTAGATCAAAGGTTTTAGCCCATACACACACACCTGTGTTAGAACACCTGTCTGTCTGATACAGTTTAAAAAGTGACTTTTATAGTCCTATGTGTCGCTTGAGACTTTACAGTCCATATGGACACGGGACACGTGTGTGTGTGTGTGTGGATGCTGTACTCATCAAAAGTCATAAACTATATAAAAGCCTATGGTCATTTCATTCAAATGATCTTTCACATTTAGTTGTTGTGGGGCAGTGCAGCTTTTACACACAGACAGATGCTGGTTTGGACTGTGAGGATGACTGTGGGTTCTGTCTGTTCTCTCCTTCATCACGTCTGTTTCTTCATTCCCTCGTCTCTCACTCTCTGTCAAACTGCAAACACCTTGGCGCGGATTTTAGTGTTTCTTGTACATGTGAAGAATTTTGTTACAGCTTCACTTTTACACACAGCGGAACTGAAGCTCCACACGTACCACCGCACACCGGGAAAGGGTCAAGCAACTTCATTCCCTGGGTGCATTAACCAGAATCCACACTCCGCAGCCTCCTCTCTGTCCACAGAGAGACCTGGAGAGGAAGGGGGAGTTGTGTCTTTCCTTTCACTCCTCAGATCAGAATGACCAGAAAATTTCATTGTCCTATATCAATCTCTTCTTTGTGCGCGCTGTGGGTCCTCTCTCGTTTAGTCAGATCATTAAAAAAGTCAATTTTGAGTCCATTTTCCGTGATGCCGTTGCTCCACTGCTCTGGCCTTCCCAGAGTCACCGCGAGCGCACACAGCGCAGCTTAAACTTCAGACCTGAGTTATGTTTGGTTAGACCCAGGCTTATTTCTGTCACGGAACAACTTGAGGCTTAAATTGGAGTTGGAGCTCAGGATTTCAGCATAAGCCTGGAATTATTAAGCCACTTTGATGGAAAACCCCCCAGGTGTCCATGATGTGGTAAATGCACCCCAACAGTATGAACAAATGTCTGTTTTTAACACATTTGTATCAGTGTAGGTTTTTCTAAATAAAAAAATTAAACCTCTCTAATACAAACATGTAAATTGTGCTTTCAGCCGGTGATAATGATACAAGAACCTCCGGCCCCTCAGTGAGGACAGCTGGAAACAAGGCTCATCATTTACTCCAGTGTGACACAAATGTCTCTCAGTACTAACAGCATGTTTGTTATGACACCTACAAATATTATCTACACTATTATTACATCTTCAGGAACAGTTTTTTGCACTTTATGTACGCATTTTTGTGATTATGTGTAACAAGAAGAAGTCTTATCATATTGTGAATTACACTTATAATTTAAAACTACATAAATCACTTATTTGAGTTTTTAATTGCTTGTTTGCATTTTCTTCGTTTATTTTTTAATAAATAAAAAAATAATAATATTTGTATGTGTGCTGTTTTAGTTAAATAGTAGAAGAATTTAAAATGACATTACATGATTTTTGACAATTCAGACAATACAATAAACTACCACAATACAATTCATGTGATTATTAAATTGTTGTTGTGTGTAGATCACTGATGAAGTCATACCTGTGATGATGTGACTTCTGAAACACACTCTGTTTTGATTTTCATTTCATACACACACACACACACACAGACACACATGCATAAACACATATATACATGCATACATATATCCATATACCATCTCTAAAAAGAGATGAGGGCTTGGAGGCCTCGTCCATCAGCCTTGAGTCTCCTCAGAAAGTCCAGGAGTTGGTGGGTTTTACAGTCAGTGATGTGCACACCCAGGTATTTCCAGCAGAATACCACTTCAGTTTCTGTGCCCATGATGTAGAGTTTAAAATGTAAATTGAAAACCATTAACTTGGAAACTACCACTATTTTTATTTATGTTTATTAGAAGACCTTCTTACATAGATCACGTATGTGGCTTTAGGTGCGTATTTTGTGCAGTAACAAGTGTAAGGCTCTTGTCTAAGTGACACAACACAAGATTTATGATGATGGTTCTTATTTCTGAGTGGCATTCTGAGAGTGTCATTTTGACCTCAGCACAAATAGCCCACTTTCTTATAATATACACAAATCGTTTACAGTCAGCGGGACAGTTTTTGTCTGATCAGAGCAGCCAATGGCGTGTTTGTCTGTGAACAGCTGACTGCACAGAGAGAGGAAGTGGGAGCACAGGGACACGCTCAGGGCGGAACCATGGAAATATAACGGAGCTTGTGCGCACAGAGGAGAAAGTTCAGACAGCGGGACGTGAAATCTGTGGAAACTGCGCGTAAGTGACGCACAGCGCGCACCGGCGACATGGCAGGTAAATAACAGCATTGGTCTGTGGAGCTGAGTGTGGAGCAGATGTTTGTGCTGCACATCACGACGCTTGGAAAAACAGGATGTGAACAGTGATGGCGTAACATGTAGTTTTGTTGCAGAAGCGGCTGTTGTGGACGCGGACACGGGACTGTCCCACAGTCCTCTGGTGTCTGTGTCCTTCCAGAGGAACGAGAGGAGAAAGTTCAAGTTTCTGGAGGGAGAGCCCAAGGCCCTGGGGGTGGGTCTGTCTCATGGATCTATTAAAATAACTGGATACAGTATTGCTGCTTGTAGCTGCCTCCAGTTGATGTAGTGTCACTCACTGGAACTTCAGCAGAAAAAATCCCATGGGCCGAGACAAGATTTTTCTCATAGAGGCAATGTAAACACAAACTGCTCGTGTTCGTCTGACAGGTCACCAACAGCTTTCAAAAATATCGGATTTGTTGGCGATTTTTACCTATTTTTAGATCATAAACTTTTTCTCGCTCAAAATCCTTCAGTTGTCTTAAAAAAAACGCTTTATATTCGTTAGCGCCTGCTCTAGCTCCTCTCGCTCTGATTGGTCAAAGCCGCTCCGCGCGTGTGGCCGCGTGCACTCGCATGTGCCCGTGGTAGAAAAGAGCACTACTGCGCATGCTCGGTCGGCCCACAGCCACCGGAAGTACCTAGGCATGCTAGGCTAATCTGGGATCATGCGCCATTGAGCTCGGCCCATGGATCTATTAAAATAACTGGATACAGTATTGCTGCTTGTAGCTGCCTCGAGTTGACGTAGTGGCCACTCAGTGGTACTACAGTCGAAAAAATCCCATGGGCCGAGAGAAGATTTTTCTCATAGAGCGCAATGTAATCACAACCTGCTCGTGTTCGGCTGACAGGGCACCTACAACTTTCAAAAATGTCGGATTTTGTGGCGATTTTTACCTATTTTTAGATCATAAACTTTTTCTCGCTCAAAATCCTTCAGTTGTCTTAAAAAACGCTTTATATTCGTTAGCTCCGGCTCCGCTCTGCTCCGCTCTGCTCCGCTCTCGTTCCTCTCGCTCTGATTGGTCAAAGCGATCACGTGATACACGAGCCCGCGTTTCGTGCGTGCGTGTGGTCGCGTGCGCGTGCATTCGCGTGTGCCCGTGGGAGAAAAGAGCACTACTGCGCATGCTCGGTCGGCCCACAGCCACCGGAAGTACCTAGCCATGCTAGGCTAATCTGGGATCATGCGCCATTGAGCTCGGCCCATTGACCTGAATGGGCGGCCATTTTGGAACCTGGGGGTGGGTCTGTCTTTACTCTGTTATTAGGTGTGTTTAAGATGCTGAAATAATCGCCTGAATCGTCCTGAGAGCGCCTCAGGTTGGACACTTGACGAGCCCCAGATCACGCAGAGTCTCGCTGACAGGACAGATCTCGCGTTCATTTGAGGTGTTGCGCTGAATCAAACTACATAAAACTTGGTGAATACATTCTCCTGTCTCCCCACACACCACGGACTGACCCCATATCACCAGAGCAAAGAACACAGAGCTCGTAATAAAGTTTACACGCTTAGGCCTGATCTGTGGTGAAAATGACTTTTTAAAGATCATACATCGATCGTGTTTGTGTGTTGTACAACATCCGGGCCCTTTTCTGTATGATTTCAAGCATCTGTGTTGACATAAAAGTAGAAAGAGGATGGAGGGACACTCCTGGGCGACAGAGCGTCACGTTTCATCAAAAACACATCGGGTCCAATCAGATGTCAGTCTGCGCCTGTGAGTTTGACAGTGCTGCATTTACCGACATGATTTAGGCTTTGTAATCCATGAAGGTGGGTGAAAGCAGCTGCAGGTGCCTTTTTAAGTCTTCACCCTCCTTGATCTCACGATCACCAGTGCGTGCGGAGCAGTTCACCGTCCTGCTCATCTTAAACACACCTAAAATATATGTTCTACTTTACACGATTAACAATTATGTCTCTGCCAATGTCCAGATCACCCAAGTCTGCCTCATCCTCTTCCACATGAGCTGTATCGCCGCCTTAATGGGGAGTGATTTAAGCAGATGGTATCATGACATACAATACATAATGGCATCGTTTTTTGTAAGTCAGTCAGTATTTCCAGATGTTGAGCCGTACATTTTACTTCTGTGCTCTTTTACATCATGCTGAAGCTAATATAACGTTCACTTTGCAGGTTTTAACTGGAGGATGTTTGGCCATAGCAGCAAAAAAATCTGCATCTTCCTACGGTAAAAAGTACAAATCAAATGTCCAAGTGAATATGAACAAACAAAAATACACTGGTGGAAAATAAAAGTACAAAATAAGTATAAACATCTTCCTATATTTTGCATTGTGCTAATAATAAAAACATTTTTTTTTTATACATTTCAAGCTCAGGGCTTGTCTGGGGATGGAGATTTTGTCCAGTGTGGCCTGCCTTTTCAACCTGATCAACAGCTCGATTCAAATGGTGGATCGTTTTTTTTTATGTGATTATACTATAAGAAACGCATACAAACAGGACTGCACGAACATGGGTGTATGTATACTTTATTATTATTTAATATTTTAATCCTAAAAGTTTTGACTTCAAGAGCAGTAGATTCTTCACTTTATTGTCATTGTAAAGTGTTTGTTGTCCGTCCTCTTGTGTTCATAGAATGCTCATATGCATCTTTTTGCTGAGTTACTGCTCGTCCACGTCGCTCTCTTTGCCATTTCTGTCACTCTGGTGGTCTACGCCTGTAAAGTGGTCAACTGCTGCTCTCCTGCTCCGAAAGTGGTATGAGACACACACACACACACACACACACACACACACACACACACACACACACACACACACACACACACACACACACACACACACACACACATTGACTTACATTAATTTCCTGAAAACTGATCCTAACCTTAACCATAGTCATTAGGGATGGGCATTTGATAAAATTTTCTTAATCGGATCGTCGAGAGAATTTACGATTGATTATTGATTAATTATTAACGTTTTTATATTAAAATTATCATCATTATTTACTATCTGCACTACTAATCTGCATAAATAAATTCAACTTTACGACAAATAAACCGTAACCACTCTAGAGCCACATCAGCCCGTTTGACATTATAATGTGTTTAATGCAACTTTGTGCAACTCTCACAGAAACGAAACTTAAAACCGCGTGGCTAATTTGCATAAACTAAGCAAAGAAATAAAAAACAGCACTTGTGCGGTGATGTGGTCAACTTCTGTCAGATTAAAGGACACGAATACAGGTTAGTGTGACCATATTTGCGTTTGTAAAAACCAGGACACCGTACGGGGGGAGGGAGGTGGGACTTCGTCATCGACATTGCGCGACTCTCACCTGGTAAAGCTTTTTCCCACTGGACACTGAAACATATGTGCTGCTTTGTACACTGTGCACATGGACTCACACTTGTCCCGACCGGAACGGAAAGCCTGGAATTTCTTGTACAAGTCATCGTTAAATACGCATTTGCGCGTCGACACGTTGCAGACTGACCAACTGTCTGTGTCTGCTCGCTCCTTCTGAGTGCAGAGAGACACATGTCCGGACCCCTGTTTGGTCACACTACACACAGCAACCTACATTTGATTTGTCGATTAAAATGAACGTAATCAATGAAATTCTTAATGATCAATTATCAATTAATCGACTAATCACACCCATCCCTAATAGTCATACTTGCTTAACCTTAAAATAAACCCTAAACTTAACCTAAATAAATCCATATCTTAACATTAAGTCTTGTTCTTGATCTAATAATGTTTACGTCATGGGGACATGATTTTTGTCCCATAAGAGAGGCAGGTGTCCTTGATGTGGTAAATGCACCCAACAGTATAAACAAATGTCTGTTTTTAACACATTTGTATCAGTGTAGGATTTTCTAAATAAAAAACTTAAACCTCTCTAATATAAACATGTAAATTGTGCTTTCAGCCGGTGATAATGATACAAGCCCCTCCGGCCCCTCAGTGAGGACAGCTGGAAACAAGGCTCATCATTTACCACAGTGTGACACAAATGTCTCTCAGTACTAACAGCATGTTTGTTATGACACCTACAAATATTATCTACA